TAATTTTATTTATAAAGTTACGTACTACGATAAATATAACAGGAAAAATTAATAACCAGGTTATGATTTATTTTGCACATTTAATGATAGTTATTGTATCAGAATTAATAGTAATCCAAAAAATAATTGCAATATAAGATTTAATATAAAATTTACTATTAATAACAAAATTAAACTAATTTATTAAATATTACTTAACTAGGATGTTTATAGAAAATTAGTGCAAATTATAAGAATTTTAAGATTAGTTTAAGATTATTAAAAATTGTAATTTTAATACAAATAATCTCACCATCCACCTGTTGTTAAATACATGGTTTATCTTGTTTATTTATAATAATCTATATTTAATACATCTACTACAAAAATTATTTAATAAGTGTGTAGTTTTTAAAAAATAATTCAGTTTTAAAATAATATTTAACGTTACTAATAAATAAATCATACAAGTTTGTTACTAATAATTATTATAAACATGGTAAAATTATTATTAACAATCTCGACAATGCTCATGGCACATATGGTTGCCGCTGATGATGATGCCTTAAATGCAACTAGGTCAGCCATAAAATCCATGATTGAAAACGTGGCAGATTCATCCGGGCATGTTTACGGGGCAAAGGACAGTAAGGGTCGGTCCATGGATTGCATTAAAATCATAGCCAACCCGGAGGTGAAGGGGTTTATAGCGGTCTACCATTCCTATGAGAACGGCAGCGCCCACTCACATATGGCTACCGCTGACAACGTGTTGGGCAAATGGACGTGGGTTAGGGCCATAGCCGGACCCGGCATACAGGTACCCAGATAGTTTTACATATAGATTATTTACTTTATTGATTATTTTAATTTTATAAATTAACATTGTATAAGTTAACCTTAATTAATATTTACAAAATAACTAACTATTATATAAATATAAATCTCGTTATACTGGATATAATCTCTAAACTGAAAATTATTATACAAATAAATAATTAATATAGTTGCCCGACTGCCTTGGTACTTTTGAATGTTAAAATTGAGTTGAACTAGATACAGTATTATACTGTAGCATACTAGTAACACAGCTAAACATACCGGATATCAATTATCAGTTTTGAGATTATCTAGTGTTCAAAAATTTTATTTTTCAACATTTTGTGTGTGAACACTAAAAATAACAGCTATAAATTATTTAACCAGGGTGCAAATGCTAGCGCAACCCAACCTACAATCGCGGTGGCAGAGGACGGGGGATTTGCCGTGGCCTGGGAACAGGAGCCCCATAACCACTTACAGTTTGCATACTACAAAAACTGGGATGACCTTGTTAACGGACACGTAACCAAACAATACGCTGCACCACAAACGCTATCGAAATGTGCCGAGGGCACCCCACACTTATACTACGCCAGTAGCACCTACCTTGATGTGGGACACCATTTCTACAACAACTGCGACACGGATAGGGAGGCACGGGGTAGTTTAGTAAATTTTTCAACATGGTCAACCCACATTCAAACTCACCTAAGTAATAGTGTTCGTACATCGGGTCAAATTGGGGGTAATATAGGGGACAGGGATTCCGGGAGCTTCAGGGGTCACGACTTTATGGTTATAGAGGCCCAGAAAGTGAAAGGTGATTTTGGTACCTGGCACATTTATTTGTATGATGCTGAAATTGATCAAGCTCAGGAGTTGAATGTGAAAACCCATAAGGGTAGCAAATCATTGGCTAACCCTTCGATAACTCATTTGTTAATTGATGGAAAGCCTACTATTTTGCTGACCATGTTTATATTTGGTGAGGGGGCGGGACAGGGTGAGGCAGGTGCCCTCATATACTATAAGACGTATTAATTATGTAAGGTGGCGTTTAAAATTAAATGAATGCATTTCAAAAATTTCAAAGTTTAAAACAATTATAAGATAATATAGGTAGTTAGATTATTTTCTAATATCAATTTGTATTAGCACATTTGAAAACACTTATAACTTATCATAAATTTATTAACTAGTCTAAAATATGTTTTTAATAAATAATAATTATCATTAATAACTTATAATTGTTTTGTAATTTAAATGTCAAATTAATTAAAATTTATGATCAGTTAATAATAAGTTATAATTATAAATATTTACAACATTTTAAAAAAGATTTTATTTACATTATTTGTAAATTAAAAATTTGTTTTATAAACCATATAATCACAAAACATATTAATTAATAATTATAAATAATAATAATTAAAAACTACGCAATGGTGGTATCCTAATTGACGTAATTATAAAGTGGGTGAAATTGATAATTAAACACTTAAAGTTTAATCTAATTTTTATATATTGATTGAATTAAGTAACGAAAACACTTATTTAATATGATTTTATAATTTGATAAATTATATTAAAATTTAGGTATAAATACGATTAAGATTTCTTTTATAATTAAAAAATATTGTTTTATAATATTTATACAGTACAATACCACATTGCAAAAATATTGATTATAAAAACTATTTTAAATATGAAATATATTGTTACATTAACTTTATGCTTGTTCATTTGTGGTAAGTAAAACTCTATTAAAATTGAATTCATAAAAAGGAAATAGTTTTAAAAATAAAATATTGTATAGAAACATTAAATTTTAATATATAGTAAGCTGAATTCAAATATATAGTAAGCTGAATTCAAATATATAGTAAGCTGAATTCAAATATATATATTCTATAGATTTATCGCTTAAAATAATTATAACATAAAATATTTATCAGGATTAAGAAAATAATCATTTAATTAATATTAGTTAAATATGCGCATGGTGAAACAAGTTGCGCCGTAGGATGGGAACAATATATTGATGAAAAATGCTTTAAAATGATACCTGATACGTTACAAACTTACGATAATGCACTGGACTTGTGTGGTAAACAAGGGGAAGGCGTTACACTACTTACAATCCATTCACAACAGGAACAGGACTTCCTGTCAGACATATTATTCAGGACACATAAAATCGTTGACGAGGTATGGATTGGGGCTAAAGTGAGTAACAAAAAAGTGACCTGGGTAGATGGGTCCAAGGACGACTACACTAATTGGGAAACTGGAAAGCCTTCAAATGTTTCGGACAATTGCGTACAAATGCAACCGGAAGTTCCCAACACTGGTAAATGGGTGGACGAACCTTGCTCCAAGAAAAATCAAGTAGTTTGTCAAAATGGTCAACTCTGGTCACGTGAACACATGCAACAAATGATTGTAGAAATGAGGGAATACCAGAAGAATATAATGCCCATCGGTTTCATCTACGTACAATTACCAAATCAACCTGAACCAAAAGTGTTATGGCCCAAAATGAACTGGGACAATATTACACCTCATTATGACGGGCTATTTTTTAGAGCTGAGGGCGGGAATAGTTCAAAGTTTGAGGGCAATCCTCAAGAGCAAGATTCACCAAGATTGGTTATGACTGACATTCATGGCCCGACAATAATATTACACCTCATTATGACGGGCTATTTTTTAGAGCTGAGGGCGGGAATAGTTCAAAGTTTGAGGGCAATCCTCAAGAGCAAGATTCACCAAGATTGGTTATGACTGACATTCATGGCCCGACAACCACAAATCGCACTTCAGATTCTGTAAAAATTACCCCGGGTGTTAATAGTAATGATCTCTATACTGGTGATAATAATGGTGTTAAAAATCCAGTTTTTATAAATTTTTTGGTTTCCTTGGCTGAAGTGAGACCTCGTAATCAAGCCATCAGAATATGGAAACGGATTCAATGAATACTAAAATTTCAAAATATTTAATGTTTTATATTTTTATTTTAGGTAATGAATCAGTAATTGTAAAATAATCCAGGTTCTGTTTTGTAAATACATTGTGTTTACTTATTAGTATTTGAATATAGTTTTGTAATTGAATTATATAACTAAGTTTATTGAATACTAGATTTTAAGGTAATAAAATTATGTTTAACTTGTTATCAGTAATATTATATTACAGTGATATTATTTTATATAAAAGCGGCGCCAAAAGGGTTGTGACTCGTTGTATTAAATTAACTATGGGTTAGAATTGAGCTAGATTAAAACAAAATTTTTTCCAACTATTGTTTTTTGGCACGAATATACTCGTATGCCAA